ATGATATTAGCAAGCTTCGAAACAGGATCTGCCTATTTATGAGTCAACAACTATGTCATTGTTTACGCTGTTATTTGAGAATAAATAAATATGTTATTATTATCTAGCTTAATCTATAGTTATTAAATCTGGGACAGAATTTATGTCAAAAGAAAGCAGTTATTTTGACTAAATTGGATTGTGGGGATACCATGTCAAAAATAACCGAGAAGAAATAAAAACCACTGTCGTCTTCTTTGTTTAATATCCAGACGATCGATAGTGAAGCAAGAAGACTACGTTCAATGGGTTCATGATATTTAGGTAAATATTCTTTTAGACTGGTCTTTTTGGAATAACATAGATACGAACTATGATGACAGTCCTTGAAAACAAGGATTACGTTTCACTATGATGATCAAAAGTATAGCGTTATGAATATTAATTTTAATAATATTAATAATATCCGGAACTCTCCAAGCAGTATTGAAGTAGTCAAGTATGGACCAATACTAAAGTCACAGACAACTCTGTGACTGAGGTTAAGGGCATTATAGTTTGAAATTTCAAGTAGTTATGGAATAGTGTATGAAGGAATCAGCGTTGTATTCAAACATTACACTTAATTAGATTAGACAATCTAAAATATGATGGTTCGTTGGTCCTCAAGATTTGTGTTCCCAGCTACTACTATTCCTCCGGAACATCATTTCAAATAAAATAGATCAATTTACTGACTAAAATTCCTCAGAATTATTGAAAATGGTTGTTACGACTGTATTATTTTTTAAGTCGTAATCAAGAAATGATCTTAGCTAGGCCACCACTAAAGACTCGAAAGTACTGAACTGCCGTTTCCTGTCATCGCCCAACTCCTTATTATAGCTCATTTACATCACTGAAATTCGATTCAGTGATTTAAATGTTGCGTTTTGTGTACGAGACTGTAAGTCCTGAGTCGTGAGCGCTCTCTGATTAAGATAAATCGCCCATCAATATTTCGCAGTTTGTAACGGCAGTCCAGATAAGATTGTTTGCGATTTCAACTAAAAAATTCTCAGAAGTGTCCAATTTCAATCGGACGGAAATAGATAAGCACAACTAAAGGTACTGATTTTGCAACTTATATAAGGCGCGGGGACCCGCTTTTTGCCAACGTTACTAAAGAAGGAGAAAGGCGACAGGATTCCGTTGTTGTATCACGGTGAACAACCAACTAGAGATAATTCCTAACGCAGTGAAGTAAATTAAACATGCAGATCACCAATATGATATGAATATGCAAACTGTAAATGACTTCAATATCCAATATCCAATATCTTTTTCACGAGCTAGTGTAAACCAATTTGATTTCTTCGCGCTCGATTCTCGTTCTTTCGGTACGGTTCCAGGTGTTCGGTAGATCTAGATGATCTTTAAGTGGAACAATAATTAAAACCGAGACCAGGAAATACAGCAACACCTACTATTCTAATCAGGGCTGTTCGAAGGATAATGCACCTGGATATATTCCGTAAGACAAAAGACAACCAGTTAAACCTGGCCAATCAAAAACTATTCCTCGAAATCTTTTACACGAGATGACCTGAACAGACTTGGACTCATCTCAGATAACACTTCTAAGAGACCAAGGCATTCTCCAGCCATAGCAGGAGACGGTTGAAAGAATAAATCTTTGCTCCTAAACAGAAAAATGACTAGAACTCCGTCCAACCTTTCCACGATTCTTTCGACTACGACGAACAGGTTAAACCCTTCGATAACATGTCGTATACTCACAGTCTCTCTAAGTTTCAAGACTGATAGTATGACCAAATCCTATCTGTAATACCTAGGTCTCTAATTACAACAATTACTAAAGTGAAAACTTGTCATTTCCTACTTCGTAAGTCCAGTCAATAAAACAGACCTCCAAACATGAAAAGGTCATAACAAATGGTAGCTGCATACGGCGAATCCCCCGCAAGCTAACACAAGCCCTAAAACGTATAACAGAAGATAGAGCCCTACCATCCAGACAGTACCAAACGCAATGTTGCATCTCACACTCAACCTATTCGAGAATTTTTATGGTACAGCATCTGAGGTAGGTTTGATAAGTTACCGTTTGTTGAAGAGTAACCTAATATTAAAAAATTATATGTGGTCTCTAATTTCTAATCTTTCGCCCAATTAGGAACCAGGACCCTGCTGACCGACTAAAGAAAACTCACACTACTTACTTCAAAACATAAATCTCAATGCATTCTAGTTTCTTCCCAACACGCTATTGTTTACTGTGGAACAGATTGTCAACATTCATCCGTGACTATGACACTATCAACAGGCGTAAGAAACTAATAAAGTTACTGCTATATTCTAAAGAGGTTTGTGACTTATTTCCAGAACTACTATATGATCTCAAGGCACATTTTTACGGTCTACCTGATATCCTGATATATCTTGTAAACTGTTAACAGACCATGGATATATTGCATCCTATTGACATTCATAAAAGTATAACCAGTGATAAAACGCGTGATTCCTTTTCTCTCATTAACCATAGTAGGTCACGCCTTGATGCACCTACCCATAATATTCAGAGCTACTTCAATATTTAGAGTAGCATCAAGGCAAATACAACTCTTCATTTTATGCGAAGATAACTTGGTGCTACCACTCCAGAATTATCCTTAATGCTGTTCAAGACAGGTTCATGCCTACACCTTGCAGTTTACAACGACATCTCACCCCTTCTCCATAAAAGAGATATAAATCTCTTGAACCGAGTGCAGAGACGAAGGACAAAATGTGTGATAGGTTTGAAGAATAAAACTTAAGATAGACTCCAACATCTAAGATTATTACCTCTGAGTTAGGGGAGATTCAGAGGTGATCTGATAAAATACGCCAAATCATCCAAACATGGTAAATTTGCCGATGCATCAACGCCACACCACATAGAATAATCCTCGCAAAACTGCACATCAAAGAGCGAACACCCATGACCGTGCACGCTTTTCCTCATCGAGAGTTTCCATAGCTTGGAATGCTCTCCAAGCCGAATTGACCACAGCACCCTCAGTGAAAAACTTGTGAAACACGCACCCAGAAACGGATTATCATCTGCCTATTGGTTCGGCTGTGTCTGATGCATGCCTTGAGACCAGCTAGTTGTTGTTACTGCCATCTCATCAGATCACTAACTCACTTTATGTCACCTATTATCTCCATTTACTGCCCCTTGCTTACGCCTCAGTCCTCTCGCACAATCTTCGCTATCTATTAATAAACAAAATTATCCATTTATTTACTTACTTCTGAAATCTTATTAGCATCAGACTTTCCTCCCTATTATTCTCCACATTGAAACTAACTGATCTCCGGTCTCGTAATGTGATAGCTGCTGCTCTGTCCTGAAACAAACGTTTTCATTCAAATCTCAAGACATACAAACAACCAAATGCCAACTGACTAGAACTAGACAGTCGAGTAGCTTGACCCCCATCCATTGGACAATAACAAGCACCTGGAACCGAACCGAAAGAATAATAATCGAGCGCAAAGAAACCAACTGGTTTATACTAGCTCGTGAAAAAGAAATTGGATATATGTTGGATATCTTTTGTATGACCTAGAAATCCGGCGCCTATATGAGGATGTCGCAACTTTGTTAATTCTCTGGTAAAGTACAATCAGCGTTTTATTTCCCGTTCATTGGTTGATTCTTATCAACATTTTATTGAAAATAACCTTATCTATTACATGACTATTCTCTTTTTAGGCATATTGAATACATCTGATATACTTGTTGCTGATATTTACTTGTATCGTTACAGTAACTGCATATTTCTAAACCTGACTCAAATCCAACTGCAAACTGGCCTCCCGTGCTGATTTATGTCGTTACTATCTTGGTTCCTGCCGTTGGATACACTTGTGGAAAGAGTCAAGCTTCAAATTTCTCGAGTGTATTACAATCATGGGCTATTCATTTCTACCCATCCAGCACCTGTTATCATCACTGTTTGCATCCTTATGATATTCTCTTGGTAATTTCAGTTTTTGTTAATAAATTTAGTTACCCCTTAACTCAGATCCCACTTGTAAAAGAAGTGCCAATTCATCGTGCAGTGGTACGTGATGACGAATTTCAGTCGTTTAAGGACTCTCGTTATGTTTTCGTAAGTCTGTTTATTTCCATTTCAGTGTTTAAAAGAGTACATAAAGGTTTTACCTTTAATTTTTGAGTGTAATTAGTTCGTTAGGGCTTACATGATTTGAACAAAACAAGGACTGCAGCTGTAGCACAGTAGGAACCCATTGTTAATTCGTCAACTATCATCGGCTGCTTAAAACCACATTCGCATTAAAATATAACCGTACCAGGCAGCAAAAACCATGGAATATTTTTTAAAGATAAGTCAAATTTTATACTCGAAATTCGTTTTTATGTCCCCGGAGTCGTTAGCCTCTAAATAGGAAACTGTGTATAATAAAGATGACGTGGTTTCCTATTACAATGACAACATACAAAGTCTCTGTAAACGTCTATTTTGTTTGTGAATAAATTTCAAGTCTGGAGTACGAGTTTTATTCCTTTAGCTCCGTTGTTCTCAAAAGTGTTTCTGATCAATCACTATTACATTTCTTAACGCTTTATATGAAATTTCTGTAGTATTAGTTGTAATATAAGTTTTCTGCAATAAAAAATCAATTTCTCTATGCTTTGGAACGTAGTATTGTAGTGTTCGTTTTAATGTTTCACTATAAAAACAGACGCATGATGACGAGAACAAAAGTCTTGGTTATATGCTTCAAATAATTGTGCATTCAAAAATACTCACAAAGATTCCAAAGTGTCATCTTAGTCATGAAACTATTGCTCACCTACTTCATCAAAGCAATGAAATGGTTGAGCTTGTTCACCAATTCAGAAGTTCTGGAGATGAAAGCACACCAGGAGGACAAACGTTTGATGATATTTGCTTTCAGGTATATTCCATTATATTTCAATATCTACTTTATTTATCATGATAATAATGCAATTTTGTGAAAATGGTGCATTGTTTCGTTCAAATATGGTTAATGTTAATTTATTTAGTTTCACTAGTGTTATTTCTAGTAAATCTTCGAACATTTCTGTCTTAGCAAGCTTTTGTTATTATAGACTTTTTATAAAAGTGAATAATTCTGTCACTGAAATCTCCGCACTTAGCAGTCTTCCAAAGTATTTCTAATTTCTTCACTTTGTAGAACTGATAAAAAATTGATATTTGATTGACTGATATGTTTCTTCTACTCACTAAGTTTTACTGGCCATCAATTTGTCTTTGCTACTTCATTTAAAAATTACTTTTCTGTATGCCATTTCTTTCCGTCAATGTTGAAAGCATTTTCCAGATTTTAAGCTTCATTAATCAAACCTCAAATTCATGATTCTAAGGTCGTCATGTTCTGAAGTCCAATGCAATTATGATGTATACTTCCTACAAATGACTAAATAAGACTATAATAATTAGGAAACTGAAATAGTGAAGTTTAAATGCCGAAACTCAGTCATGATTTACACGTCATGAGTATTTATACATTTACAAAACCTGACCGGGATAACAACTTGTGAAATTAAGACTTTGGCTGGCGAATAGTTGATTTCCTCTACAACTTGCCTGCTTCTTAAAATTTCACCCATCGTTTGATCTTGAGACAAAACACGAGCTTCCTATTCTTTTTAATATGTTTAGGCTTACTTAACCCATCAAAAGCAAAACTTATGTTACCGTTTGATGCAGTTTTTCATCTTTTTATAAGCCGATTGACTAACCTTTCACTTACATGATCTGGCTCTCAAGTTATCTTTAAACTTCGATATCAGATGCGTAATGGTTAATAGACTCTCATA